GCTTATCTGTTGACGTGTCCCGTCGTAGGGGGACGTTTGAACCGGCCGGCCGGCCGACCAGCTCGGCAAGACACCAACAACAGCAGTAGCAGTTAATCTCCTCTCTGACGGCGCCAAGAAGCAACGAAGGATTTGTGGCAAGGGTAAAACAGATGACGGGAGAAAGGGCGATGAATGGGGACAGCAGCGGTCCTCTGATATGCTGACGTATCAACGAGTGGACTTCGTTTCAGAAGAACGACTAAAAGAGAGGACATTGATCGGTGGCTGAAAAACGGCAATGGGTGAGGGGTGAACGGGCAAGTGCCACTGCTTACTGCTCCTCACTGTTCACTATCGACTCACCTCACCTCGCTTAGGCGGCGCAATGCCGACAACGACGACAAGGACGACAACGACAGCACGAAGGCGACGATGACAACCACTTGGACGACGAAGACAGCGCGACCAGATTTTGCGCTTCGCCGTTGGCTGGCTGCCAACCTCCGCTGGTCCATCCATTGGACGGGGGCGGATAAGTGGAGGAAGACGACGACGGCGACGTCGATGGCGAAGGAGGCGATCACTCTCGACTCCCGTTGCCTCGCTTCGACACATCTCGATTGCGATCTCGTCAAGCCAAGCCAACTTTGCCGAACCAAACCTACCTCATCATTGTCTTTCATCTTTCTCACCTCGTCTTCGATTTCGTCATCCTCTGTCCCCGTATCTCAGTAGTCGACCGCGCCTCCTTCATCAGATTGCTCCGTTCCACGTTTCAGTCTGTGTTCAAGCCGTCGAAACTGGAACCGCGCAGGATCACGTCGCCATCGCCACCACATCGTCATAACGAGGGCATAAAGACGCTGCGTAGCCCGTCCGCCGTTAGGCCATCGCGGTCTGCGCCAGAAATGCCAAATATTAGTTTTATTCCAACACTTCATTTTCGTCATCCCGCCAGGTCAACCCAGAAAAAATTGGACCACAATGTTCACCATTACTTCCGATCTGTAATTTACCATCGTGCCGTGTGCGAAGGAAGCCGGTTTTGCTCTAATACGGTGCTACGCCACGGCGACGGCAAAGACACGAGAGCCAAACGACCATGGACTAGTAGTGAGTACAAGGCCGAGATGCGGAATGAGAGGGAAAACGAGGCCAGCCGCCGGGATGTGCCGAGGTTGAGCGAATGCTGAAGGCATGTACTGAAGCGCAGTACGCAAGCCTGTGGCAGTTGGTCATTTGAATCCGATCACTTTCTGTGGCGCGATCCTCGCTCTCGGCAATGGGTAGACGGCTTACATTCTCCGGAAATGAGAACAGTTTACGGACCATAATACTCGCATATGCTTATCCGTACAGATTACGTTTTCAATCGTACATAATGGGTTCTGAGGCCTCATCAGCCTCGTTCTGAGTGCCGTAGCAAATGAGACAAGCGACACCGCCTTCGTTATCCGAGAAAAAATGGTAAGACAGCAAAATTTGGCATCCGCGTCGCAGCTCAGCATACTGTACCAAACTGAGGCCAGTTGCCTATTCAAATATCTGATGCGGTCTGAGATAATGATGCGACAGCTGTACGATGTGCACGTGCAACAAAAGCGGCTTGTTTAGCATAACGCAGTTTCACAAGATTATCCTTCGGATAAACTCTTTCCCCTGAAACATGATTTACACGAACCTTGTAGTCTTCAGCGTACTATGGTACGCAGACTGCGGTCGACAGCCATTTAGTCTTGTATAACAAAACGAATAATGATTCGATTCTGGAAATTCGCATAAGTTTCTATTCTAGGTTTCCGTGTTGCTGTTCAATTAAGCCATCGTGTTAATTAAGCTGCTTTTGTTGTATTAGCCATCTCAATTCAAAGTTTTGCTTGTCGAAAATATACGCGGCGCGATATCCTCAAAGAGGAACTGGCTTTCGACTAAACTTGGTAGTCCTCTTCAGCCGGAATAAGAATGAATTGCCAACAGCAACGAATGCAAAGTCCCGGATTTCAGCGATTTACACTACTGCTCTCCATGCCTGAACTAACCTCGACATTCTCATGATGAGGAGCGGCCTCCGACAGACGTCGTTCAGCTATCCAGGTAGAGGTTGCCATGGCCAGTACAGCTCATCATCCTTTCCGAGGTAGTTCTGTCTAGAAGGAAACTCCAACTATAGATCTAGAAGGAACGAATACGGTCACCATCCAAAATGTGTTTTGCAATGCAATATGTACCGTATTGCACGTGTTGCCGCATTTGATTAGACCGCCACGTGTCGTTCTCGGTAAATGCCGAATTTATTACCTTACAACAGCAACAGTTCACAGGTAGCAGCCACTGCTCAACCATAGCTTGCGGGTCGTCAGAGCGTGCAGTCGGCTGTCGGTTGTGACTTCGCCCTGACCTCGCAGTTGTTTGACCTTAGCTAGCGCTTAATGGCTGCTACCAAACGAGAATGCCCAAGCTGAAATGAATTTTCCTGCACTGATGACAGCACGCGTTGCATAGCTAGTACTGTAGAATGCAAACATTTATTGATTAATTGAAAGAGTCTGTAAAACAGAGGCAGAAATGCCAGTTCACCTGTAGGTTATGATGTTAGGGAAGTATAATAAATCGTCTGCGTTACCGTTGTTACTTGTAAATGTAATGGGCATTACACATTTTTCTACGTCATATTGCGACGTTCCTGCCGCCAACAGCGTTGATGTTGGTCGGCTAACGAAATAGTGGTAGTCGTGGTCAACAGTGAATTGCTCATGTCCTTTGCGTAGCTCTGTCTAGAAACCTGAATCGAAGGATCGTGGGGGCAGGGGATCGTATTTATCTTTAGAAAAGGAACGATGAAAACTGTTGTACACAATGAGGTCTCTCCTTTCCTAAGTGTAAATTACATCATATTGGCGAAATGGTCAGAAGACATACAACGCTTAATGGATAATATCAGGTAATGAAGATATAGCAATATTCTTCCGTGATTTCGTTGACCAGGGCCTGAAAATTCGGCTCAATGAAATCACTGTGTAGCACTGCTAAAATAATGTCATCGTTCTGAGCTGAGGATAATATTTGTCCGGATGTCTGCTTATATTCGTCGCATCACTGAAATACTTCGATGACTTCCTGCGAATGAGCGAAGGCTATATTTAAACAGGACACGAGCCGAATTTACAAACACGAAAACCCCAAGACGAGACCGAAACAATTTCAGACCTTTACAAAATTATGGACCAAAAAAGGTCAGCAACCTTTGCAGCTTATTTTAAGTACATTTTAATAAATGAAAGATGTCCAAGGCAAAGAATAAATTGCAACCACATCTTAACACTAAAAATGCATAAGATTTACTTTGGAGAAAAGGTCTGCCTGGCTTCGAGAAGAGAAACGAACGGATTAGTTGCAATATATACCGAAGTGGTATGCTGGATCAAGATGGATAAAAATGACAAAAAACAGAAAGCCAGCAGTGATTCGACAAAGGCTGATGATGATTCCGAATTGTGGTACCGATCAGCAACTTAGAAAGGAAAGGAGTGTGTAACCGTTGGAATGTCGGTCTTCCTTACAATTTAAGGATTGGACCATTCTGGCAGCCTTTTCTCATGAAGTTACAATGCTGTGCTATGCTGATCTACGTTTCTATGCCAACAGCCAGTGTGACAAGCTTATCGTGAAATTTCCTGTTTTCTTCCCACAGAGTGGTACTCATTTATGAACCTCAGAAGGAAGAAAGGGGTGTGGCCCCGACCATGGCTTAAACGAAGACCTAGGATTTATCAGCAATGAGTTCAACGCTCTCTCGATTGGGAAACCTCGGTCTGATGCATCGTGTTGTAAATTCATTGCTAAAGGTTATTCAGCGAATAAGAGAAAGATCAAGGCAGAATCGAACCGGCATCTCTAGGGTTCGAAGCAGAACTAAAACTTACTGTGTTACCACGCCACTTAAAAAGTAAATCCAGAAATAAAATATCTGATAAACGCAAAATGTACAACCGCACGACGGAATCAATTCAACATTTGTCCTGTTTGCTTCTGCTAACACGGAGTACCTCAATAACGTCCCGAAAATCAAACACCAGTGGCACTTTCAAGAGGCCTAATTACAGAAACGACGTCGTACTACCGATACGATTCATCGAGTGTACGAGAGGACCATTCAGTCAAAGTTAAGTAGGAGGGTTAATTAACTAATGGTTAATCGCCGCCTGTGCTTTCGGCAACCAGTCCATGAGCTCTAAATGGAGTAATTCATACCACAAAAATCTGCCTGTACCTTGTCTCGGTCACCTGAACGTTATTTTACGGTACGGGGATAATTGATTTACCAAAGGAGCAAGAACGATGGATGATCTACGTACAGCAACGTTCGCTTCGACGCATAATGAGGGTTAAATGCCAGGACAACGTAAGGAATTGCCTGGAGTTCTCTTTTGGGGACAGGCAACCTCAGTAGACGTGGAGATTAAGAAAATGTTGTTGCCCTGTTAGACAAACTGGTTGAGCACGAATCAGTTACTGTAGCCGTCAGCTTCTCGCGTGGTGGCCGAAATGAATCAGAGGTGGACCAGAAGACCACATGCAGCATAAACGAAAAAGAGAGGAACATGAGAACAATGTAAGATCAGATTTGCTCACTGAGAGGAACGGTTCGATGTACGATGCAGAAACCCGTGCCTTAGGCAGGAGTGTTGAAAAGTTGCTCATATGGCTGACTAATTAATCTGAAAATTGTACTCCTGTTAATGGCTCAAGGTGGTGATCTTAACAAACGCACAAAACTTTAGAAAGGCCAGTGCAAATCCTCGACCACCGTATACTCACAGCTCATGCTGTTTATCACAACCGGTTCAAATATGTTAGTCCTAATCGCGAAAGCAAGACGGCCGATGATCTTGAAGAAGCACTTCTACTCGATGAGAAATGCATATAACTTTGGTAAAGAAAATACGAAAACATCGAAAGTTGGCCAACGGTTTAAACCAGATATATCAACTGGAAAGCATGGGTTAACGTTAGTGATCACTGCTGCATACGGTCTGATCCGAATGTCAATGAAGTCAAAGCTGGAACCAGTTGGAAACCGCGAAAACCTTACTGAAAAATTGTTAGAAAGCTGTCGTTTCGAAACATTCGAGGCAAAGAGGACATTGCCTCAGTCAATGCACAATTTGCATGCTCGAACCGAGAACCGTTCATGCAAATGCCGACAAGAAAAACAGCCTTAAATGGGATTAGTGTCACCGGATCAGACCATGGCAGGTCTCATCCCATGATGATAGGAACGTGCAAGTTAAGGAAACGTTAATGAGTCAGATTTCTCAGATCATCACCGAACAAATTGAACAGAGGATATAATTTCTTTCCTATTTGCAGACACCACTGATGAAGCAACGTCCAGGTGTTGTTGGTCTTGTATCGAGTATTAAACTTCTATTCAGAGAATAGGTAGCACGACGAAAAGTTGTCATGCCTTCTCAAAGAATGATACGGATTGTCGCATCTACCCTTCGTCCGTCCGAGATATTCTCTCTTCGTGTTACAACCGCGTTGTTTGGTCGGTCGGTCGGTCACTCGGGATGTCACGGCAACGTAGTGCACATTTAGCAACATTTTGCTACAACTTTTCAACTCCTCCTCGGTGCCTCTTTGACCGCATACCGCTCTTCCTTTCGTTGATGACTCGTTCAGAAACTTCAGATGTAGAAAAGCGCACAGCTGGACCGATCCGTGAGCTGAGTGCAATCCCTCGTTTGTCAACGATGTCCGGCAGCGCAAAACCTAACAGCAGGGGACCTCTGGTCAAATAACGTGATAACATATCTTCAGAGAAGTGATCCAATGTCGAACCGAACAATTCCTTCCTGACTCATTTGTATTAAGCCACCTTTTGTAAATACTGCTTTTCACCTTATGCTTATTGCACTGTCACTGCAAGAAATGTGAATATTTGAACGCACCAAAGCAAATAAAATTGAATTGAGTTAGCAATCGATCGCCTTAAAAAACTAGAGTTCTGCAAGCCTCGGTTACCTTTACCTGGGGTTAACTGACCGCTTGAAGTTCGCAATAGTCCTTCGTAGCTACCTTACTACCCTACGTTGGTCAAGAGGGCACATCCCACCGTACTTTTTTCCATCACTTTAGTACGGTATTCTGGTTATGACCTGCTTTCGGTGAAGGAAATGTGAGGCTTAGA